AGCTCTTCCAAATGCTGCCCAGGCTCCTGGGGACAGCAGCTGGCTACCTCTTATTTAAACTCTTACCCCCAAGTGAACAGGATGCCTGCCATACCTGGGTCAGTAATTTGAGTTCCCTTTACAATGCCTTAAAATGTGTTGGGCAGCACAATGATCGGACCTCTGACTGGGCCTGTTACTATGTTTGTGCGCAGCAGTTACTTCAAACGCTTCTGGCCTTATGTTGTACATATGTCTATATCCATTTACTTTCCTTTATCCAGTTCAGGGGCAGGCTACACCCTGGAGAGGTCACTAGTCTGTTACATGGCTAACGCTCAGAGACAGACAACCACTCACACTCACATTCACACCTATTACAATCACAGTTAACCACTGACTGCATGTCTTTGTGACTGTGGGAGGAAGCTGGAGCGCCTGGATAAAAACCACACAGATACGGGTTGGATATGCAAAAACCACACAGATGGTGGATTTGAACCCTTGCTGTAAGACAACAGTGCTACACACTGCACCATAGTGCTTCCCCATTTACAGGACGTTTAGGCAAATTCAAAGTCAAATGCTGTGACAAGACAAAAAAAAGAAGTTGCAGGTACATTGTGGCCACAAGGTGTCTCTGCAAGCTCAAAAAGTGGAAAAAGATAAACGTGGAGGTGGCTCTCCATCCACTGATTGAACATTAAACGTGTAACTCAATTCATTATGAGGGGTGATGCTTTCACTCTGGTGGAGACATGGGTGTTAAAGTGTGATTTATTTATTTTTTGTAGGGATATATTTATTATTACGTGTGTGAAAAGATCATGCTGATCAGGCAAACCACATCGCTGGGATATCCCTGCTTTTATTCTATACGGGGGAATCTTATTGCTTTTTAAACTTCTGTCTCTCTTCATTAAAAGCAAAAATGACATTTAAATCCACTTAAAAAATAAAGACTAAAGATAGCAAGAAATAAAGAGTGAGAGCAAACATTCGCTCAGACTTTAATCTGCGAAATTTCTAAATCTTGAGTGATGTAATCACATGTGATGTATTTTATAAGGCTTTTACGGTTTCAAGTAACCATGAGTAGAGATTTTGTACACAAATGCTTTTTTTAAGCTTGAAAATAAAACACAATTTGCAGATTAAATCTGTAGAGTTTTTTGGGAGGGTTTTTAACCTGTTTTTACCACTTCCCTTTAAACAGTAATTTCCTCAACAGCCTGACCAGATGGTGGATTTTACTTCACCGACCCTAGCTGATGAGCCATCTTGACTGCAATCTCTCCTCATCCCGTTTGGTTTTGAGCGATTGAGCGAACGTCTGCCCTTTTCAGTTATAGCACAAGATCTGATACTGTCACTGCTCACTACTTGACTTTCTCTGCATCGTCCAGCTGATTAACAGTGTACACTGTACAGTGTAACACAAGACAACCTCCCAGAAGAACCACAGAGCTCCTTCCTGCCACTCAGCTCACATGCTTGCTGCTGTAATTATACCCTGGCCTTGGATTTGGTCCTTAAAAATAATGGTCCCTTCTGCGTGTACAGTAAGACAGCAGGAAGAATTTGTGCATAGATATAGCAGGATGAGGGGGAAAAATGCTCAAGGGCAGATGGAAAGGCGTTTGTATTTATTCGAGGTTATATCTAAACATAGCTACAAAGTGCAGGCTGTCTTCAAGCACCACATTTGGAGGTGAAATAACATGCTAACAGGGGGGTGGATGGGTGGGTGTGTGTGTGTGTGGGGGGGATGAAAGGCGATTCTGCGTCTTTGTTTCTCTGGATCTAAAAATAGCTCATGCTGAGCAGGCAGTGAAGCTGAGCTGCAGTCCCTTCTCTTGCTCCCTTTTTTCATTCTTATTCCATCTCTCACTTTCTCACACACAAAAATGCATCACCCTAACGGTGCACGGGAGGTGGCTTGGAGAGCCAGCGCGGAGCGGCGTTTTGGGCCAAGCTGTTCCACCCCTTTCTTTAAATTGCTGTCAACACAGAGCACCTTTGGACGCAGGGCCCGGTTTTAATATTTATGTGCTGACTGGCGTGTCACCTGTGCATCCATCCGCTGAAAGAAATGGCAACATGAGACTCCAGTCTAAAGGTTGGGATCCTCCAATGTACACATTAACATCAGCTGCTCAAAGTTCTGCATGTGAACTCTTCAGAAAGCGGTCAGAAGCAGGCGTTGCTTGTTCTGACAGGTTTGCAAACACCAAAAAACAGAAGAAACAAAGAAAAAAAAACTGACCCACTAGTGTCAAATTATTTGTCCTTATCTAAAATATACCCACTAATCTTCTGTTCATGATCTTTCACACACACACAAGAAAAAGGCATACTGCAGTTGCTAAGGCACTTGATAAAGCCTGGTCTTGTTATTGTCCTGCAGATTAGTTTCCCGCCCACACACACACTCCTAGTCTCACAATTATAGAGGGAAGCTGTGCTAACCCTGTTTTAAGGGGTAACAGCTGAAACTCAAGCAGACTTTGTAAACCAGGGGTTTCTGCACACATGCATGCAGACATACCGTACATATATATCTATATATTCACATACAGTATAGAGTATGTGCACGTGGGTCAGGTGAAAATGGGTGAGCAGGATTTACACTTGCAGAAAAAGGTGAGTCGATTCACAATATTTGCCTCTGGAGTGAATCATGTATTGCGTAAAGGCTGGCGCTGGAGATGAGGAATTTGCTTCACATTTCTTCACTTGGCAGCCAAAACACCCTCACACAGTGGGAGTGATGGAGCACATATTTCTGTTTCTCATGGCTCGAGGAGAGAGCACCAGAGGCAGAACGTGGGAAATCACTCGGAAATTAACTAATGGAGACAAACAGCACTGGTGCCATGTTTTGTGAGATTTTATAGCAAAGTTTTGTGTTGTGGTCCTTTGTTTTTCCTCGTGGAGCTCCATCTCGACTGGGGATGCATCAGCTCTGGGCTGATACTGTCCATCCATCAGTTTTCTTCTGCTTAGGTGTGAAGAAAATGGGTTTGATCCTGGAAGCTTATATTGTGAAGTGGCAGTGCTAACCACAACACCAACCATCACCCGGAACCTCGGGTGATGGTGATATTTGCATTTTTATTGCAAGCAAACAATAGGTTTTTCTGCTTGGCCTCCCCTCTACACCAATCAGTCACGACAAATGCCTACTGCTTCTGCTGGAGCTTTCTTCCTGTTAATAGAGAGTTTTTCTTTTCCACTGTCACCAAGTGCTCGCTTGTAGATAGTCGTCTGACTCTTGAGGTTTTCTCTCCATTACCTTGCAAGATAAAGAAGCATGAGGTGATTATTGTTGGGATTTGGGAGCTATATAAACAAAAATGTATTTATTGTTTGTTTTTTTTACATTTTTTT